TAGGAATCGAACGCCTCTAAAACCGGAATCGGTCGGTAAAGACGAAGCCGGGAGAAAGTAAACGATGAAAAGTGAAGACGAATCTCACCTAAATAAAGCGCATCTGAAAACATCTATACCGTTCCAATACAATTTTATGGTTTAAGTTAATAATTTGAGTCTTATTTTCATTTACAAATAATGAACTAACAAGAAAGTTTATATTTATTTTTAACCCGACTCAATAAAACAAAACAGTTAGCTCATCTTGAAAATTTATATTAGTTTTATTTCACTGCGGAAAAATTAGAAAGAACGCCTACATTTATTTTTTATTAAACACAAATACGTTAATCATGCTAATGGAAATTAGTGTGCATTAGAAATTTAAATATATGATACCGTAGATTAACAAAAAACGTAATAACATAATAAATAACGATTTTTTAAGTTTTTTTAAAAATATGATATCGTTTTATTTAATTTTATGTGTACAGGTAAATTATTATAAAGTTACATACTTTTCTAAATAAATTAATTATAGTAAGTTTTTGTTCTACATTTTGGCATTTATACTGTTATTGCTCCTTGGTCGGTATGTTTTTTTATGAACTTATGTCAATAGTCTGTATTTTTCAAATAAATACATTGGTTTTTTGTTGTGTATTATTTTAAACATTATTGAGATAATATTAAAATTTTGAAGCCCTTTTATTTTTAACTTTTTTAATTTTATAAATTTGTTCACTAATTTGATCATCTTTTTTTTAAATGATTGTCGCTTGTCTTTGAGTTTTTGGGCTCTGTAGTTTCAAATTCAACTGTAATATAATTTGATATGTGCGTCAGTATTAATGCATTGCGTAACTTGTTATTAATTTTTAATTACTTCATTAATTAATTTTTAAAAGAGTAATTTTTTTTAATTGTTCAGTGCATTTGTCGGTCCAAGGTATTTCAAAGAAGTTTCGTTAATTTTTATAAATTTAATATTATTTCGTATTCTGCAACTGTGAGTGCCCTATTATCATACTTGAGCCTTTGTCTGGATTTAATTTTAATCCATGTCTCTTACACCTGTCATATAAACTTTACATATCAGAATTTATTTGGTCTAAATTTGCATCAAGATTTCCAATTCTAGAGGCCGTGTATCTTCGCGTACATATCCTCGATACAATATTTGATCGCATAGGAAATTTTATTTGCGTAAATCGTTAATAGTAGCGATCACAGGGTTGACCCTTGTGGGTCTCCTTTGTCCGTGTTTGCCATCCTGAAAAACACCCTTTCAATCTTTTAATCCACTCCGGCCGTGAAATTTAGATAAGACATATTACCACTTAGTTACTCTTTCTAAATCGATTTTAATATAGTTATAAGTAATTCGTGGTTCATACTATTGAACTCATGATTAAAATCAAGCGTAGTCATGATTGCTAATGATCGGTATCCCCCCCCATATCATCCAATTTATAAATTAATGGTGATTGCGTACTATATCATTTTCGATAGTCAGACAGATACTTATATAATATGTCTTTTACTTCTAAGTACTGATTAAATTTATTTGCAGATTACCTTGTCAAATATTTTGCTAATTATTTAACTAATTAAATTGGACGAAAACAATTAAAACTATTTGGTCGATGGTCGCAACGCTCAAGGTGTTGGCACGGTACTTGTCAGTGAAAGGTAAAGGTCCCGGGTTCGAATACGAACACGACATACTTACAAATGTTTTTTTTTCAAAAACCTCGACACCCTGAGGTGATCTATATGACCTTGATCTATATGACCTCTGCTGTTGCGAACCCTCGAATAACACATGTGAGTATAAATATTTTGATTAAACTAAAATTCATCTTTATATCAAACATAATAATTTACATTTTTTTGGTATATTTTTTTACACAAATTTCACAATCGACATATGTTTGTAATTTACCCAGACCTTGAAGCTGACCCGAATAAAGGTCGAAACGTAGGCAATTAAATAAAAAATTCGCTTTTCTAAAATACATCTATTATGTTGATCTGATCGCTTCTCACTACCTCAACCACTTATTATAGTTAATTTCTTGAGGAATTGATCTATCGGGTTGGTAATTATGTGTGACTACAATTAGTTCTTCTCATAAGACGTAGGGTGAAAGATGAGAATTGAATTGAATATATTATATGTAAAAGCTCGCAAAATTAGGCCTCATGAACCTCAAGAGAGAAACAGAGAGAGAGAGAGAGAGAGAGAGAGAGAGAGAGAGAGAGAGAGAGAGAGAGTAAAAATAGAGAAGGAGAGAGGGTAAGTTAGGAGATAAAAGAGAAAGAGAGGTACTGTGAGAGAATGAGTGAGAGACACGAAGGTAAAAGTGAGAAAAAAAGAGAAAGTAAGTTTTGAAGGAAAAGATAAAGAGAGGTTCAGTTAGTGTGAGAGAGAGTGAGAGAGAATGAGTGAGAGAGACAGAAAAGAGAGAGAAAAAAAGTTTGAACAAAGAAAGAGGGGGTGAGAGAGTGAGAGAGTAGGAAAAGTTAGAAAAAAAGAGAGAGGGGAGAGAGAGAGAGAGAGAGAGAGAGAGAGAGAGAGAGAGAGAGAGAGAGGAAATTGGATTTTATTAAATTTATTTTAATTTGATCATTTGATATTAGATTTATTTTAATAAAATAAAAAAATTATTTAGAGATCACAACAAACTTTGAAAAACCAGCTACATTTTTAACGGACTTTAAAGTTGACCTCTATTGAATAAAGTTCTCGCATGCATTGTGTGAGTTTGGTGGAAAATCAATGGCAGTCTCCTACCAACTAAACGACAACAAACCAGAGATTATGGCCAAAAAAGAGAATATTATTTTTTTAACGCTTCTCACACACGGCAGTATAAAAACCTGCCGAAAGAAAAAATATATATATATCATACTATCAATTTATAAATAGTTTTGGGTTTTCCACCTGTAGAAAATCTTAGGTTGGAATTATCGTTAGCCGTTTAGGTCGGAGGCAGTTTTAATATGGAAAAACAAATACAAATTAAAACAGGGAAAATATTTTCTCTTTTGTAATAACATTTACTACCGGTTTTTATTGGTCCTAGCTTAAATTATCATTATCGTGATATTTATCAATAGCAAATGGACGACGTCAATGATAATTATCATAGTCGACGAACAATTAGCCGTCAAATGTATTGTAAAATTATTTGCGTTTCAGAGCGGTTAATGAATTTGATTTACAGATTCAGCATATTGCTTCATACAATAGTTTTGAAAATAGCGCAATGCAATACTTACATCACTTTTTGACTCACACAATGTTTTAAAATTTTACAGTCTATATAATATAATATAATATGTCTTGGATGTTTTGTATCTACTACTACATACTATTAATCGAAATGGAGCCACTTTCCATCTTTATAATTTGCACTTTTTCTTTATTACAATGTATTCCTCTCAATCAATATATTTCCACGTATTGTTTACTTCCTTAGCCTAAAGTTTCTTTAATTTAGTCTAGTTTGTTATGTTCTACGGTCAGTGTTTTGTCAATGTGTTCTCAGCATTGGTCACTTCGGAAAATCATTTAAATTAGGATGCCAGGCCATATTGAAACAAAAACTACTTCATGATTTTTTTTAATAATGCGTAACAATATTCAATTTTACAGTTGATCTATTTCCGTTTTTCATTATTTTTACTGTTTTATATATATGTACAAGTTGAATGTTAATATGGAAAAATGCATGTCAACTTTTAACAATTTCATTCTTTCCTCTTGATAATTCGAACATCTCGATAATTCGAATTATTTTTCTGGTCCCTTGGGTTTCGAATTATCAAAAGTGGACCGTACATACAAAAAATGAATGAGAGAAAGAGAGAGAGAGAGAGAGAGAGAGAGAGAGAGAGAGAGAGAGAACAGAGATAAAACAAAAACAGACATTAAGAGAGAGAAAGAAAGAGCACGAGAGTTAAAGACAAAAAGAAAGAAGCAATTATAAAAAATCGAAAGAAATACAAAAACAAAACGATAAAGAAAGGTAGATAGAGAGTGAATGAGTAAGTTTAAAGTGAAACGAGCAAGAGAGATACAAAGAATGAAAGAGAATGAGTGAGAGAGAGAAAGAGAGAGAAGCAAATAAAAAATGAATGATACGATAAGACGAAAGATAAAAGAAAAACAGAAATTAAGAGGGAGATAGAAAGAGCACGAGAGCTAAAGACGAGACAAGAAAGAAGCAGTTATAAAAAATCAAAAGAAATACAAAAAAAGCGAGAGAAAAAGACATATAGCTAGATGGATACATAGATAAATTGATAGATAGATAAATAGGTAGATAGATAGATAGATAGATAGATAGATAGATAGATAGATGGATGGATTGATAGGAAGGTAAGTAGGAAGGTAGATAGATAGATAGATAGATTGATAGGTAAGTAAGTAGGAAGGTAGTTAGATATAGATAGATTGATAGACAGATAGATGGATAGATATAGATTGATTGGTTGATTGGTAGATAGATGGATAGGTAGGTAGATACATAGATAGATATACGTATAGAGTGATAGATGGATGGATAGATAGATAGATAGATAGATAGATAGAGATTGAGAAAGAGTGAGAGAGAGTGCTCCAACTTTCGAGGACTCTTGCTGAAAATATTTTTTATGGTCATGTGTCACCAAATTTTCACATATGAAACGTTGATATCATATTTAATGAATCAAATCGCCGCTTCGGTGAAATGTCCAACATAGGGCGATTTTTTTCACTGTCCACCCATTTTCTTATTAGGTGTTTACACCAACATCGCGCATGGATGAAAATGACATTTGGTAATTTTGGAATTGTAACAGGAATGTCTCGTGACCCGTTCCGAAGGACACCGGCCAAACTGCAAAAAATCCCACGAAAGAGGAAAAATACCCCCCCATAAAATGGCATGCTAATACCATTCAATCGCAACCTTATAAATAAATCATTATTAACGGAGGAATGGTTCAAAATATGGGTCGGGTCCTAAATGGGCTGGAGGGGGCGGCGGTGGTCTGTTAAAGGTCGGGACGCGAAGTCCCCTCCACCGTCGTGTCTAGGACAAGGACTAACGGAGTATATACGAGTAGCGACTTTCGGCTTCATCCGCCAGTTCGACGGGGATTCAGCAGAGCCGAGCAAAGCAGAGAGAATGGCAGCGACAGCGGTGAACAATTTCAACCACACTTTCTTCAAAGAGAAAGAAGGTAAATCAAATAATGCCGGCATGCTGAATATACTCCGTCAAATCAGTTTCAGACAATTTTTTCACTTTTCGCCCTAAAATCCCTTAAATTCGAGTTAAACTTTAGCATAAAGTGACAAGCATACTCATATTGACTGAATCTTTAACACAATCAAAACATCTAAAAGGTAGATGACCCGGGAAAACTCAGGGTCTTAGGTTTTATAATTTAAAATATTTAAGTCACTATATAGGCTCACTTTAAGTCAGACTATATAGGCACCTAAAAATTTAACCAAACTTGACATTTCAATAGAAAAAAAGTAGCCCTAAGCTAGCAGGCATGTTAAAGATTGACTGCCCTCATATAATCCAAGTGACCAATTAACCAGAATTTAGGTATCAAGCAATGACCCTTAAAATTTAAAAATATATACAAACTCGTGATTTTTAGAACACTTGTACTATCATACTGTTGAGTGATAATTTTTTTTTAAATTATGGGTTGAAAATTCATTTCAAGGGGTACAGGGTACCACAACTCCTCAAATTGTAATATGTATTTGTTCTTCAATTTTTTGTGTTTACGAATGTTTTGTTGGGTTTGTTCGGAACTTGTATCGATGTTTTCATCCTGCTATTAAGTTTTGGCAATACCTTCCATAGAATGTTGAGAGTATCGACATAACTTCCAAGTAAAGCCGAAAAAAATTATCAGGTAATTTATTTAAAATTATTTCATTGGTTTACTTATGAAAGCATTTGTAACTAATTTGTATAAGGTTACACGTTGGAAAACCAATTCGCAACATGAAGAAAATTATTATGATAAATAGTTTAAATATTCATTCAATTATATTACGTAAATTAATCGATATCACATTTAAATAATTTATTCTTTAGTTTATCAATTTTCTTTATTAGCTTCTATTGATCTATTTTTGTTCTTCTCAAATGCATAATTTTTTTAGATAACGTATGTAACTTAACCATTCGATATCTTACATCGATATATATANGAACATCGATATATATATATATATATATATATATATATAAATACTTTATCTATTTGTTTTTACAACTGAGCTGTTACAACTGTATTTTGTATTGACCTGTATACAATTGCTGCTGGAAAAACCTGTGAATTTATCAAAAAACAACTTAACAAATAACAAAGTAAAACTATTCGCGATATATTTTTTTTTCATATATTGGCACTTTTCTGTCTTTTGGTTTAGATTTTTCTGCTGTTGCTGTAGTTGGTGTATGTTTCATTGATCCATATTCAATTACGCGCTGGAAAAACCTATTAAAAATCTGTAAAATGATCAAATAACAATTTAACAAATAACAAAGTAAAACTGGGCGTCGGTGGCCGCAACGGTTTAAGCGTTGAACGGCGCTCATCACTGTAAGGTAAAGGTCCCGGGTTCGAATCCACTGGCCCTACAAATGGGCTTTTTTTCAAAAACACCGGCACCCTGAGGGTCGATATAACCTCTGCAAAAAAAAAAAAAAGTAAATAAATAAACAAAGTAAAACTATTCGCGATATTTTTTTTTCATATTTTGGCACTTTTCTGTGTATTGGTTTACATTTTTTCTGCTGTTGCTGTATTTTTCATTGATCTCTATTCAATTATGCGCTGGAAAAACCTATTAAAAACCTATGAAATGATCAACAAATAACAAAGTAAAACTATTAGCGATATTTTTTTCTCCATATATTGGTACTTTTCTGTCTTTTGGTTTACATTTTCCTACTTTGATGTATTTTTCATTGATCTGTATTCAATGACGCGCTGGAAAAACCGACGATATATTTGTGAAAATAGTCAAAAAACAAACATAAACATTCGCAATTATTTATTTTATGGGTTCATACTTTTTCGTCTTTAGGTTTATTTATAGCTTTGTCTGTATTTTCATTGGTTTGTTATACACTTATACACTTGAAAAACGTATGAGAAACTTGTAAAAATGATTAAAAAATCTAACAAATAAGAAAGTAAAAATATTTGCAATTATTTTTTTATATGTTGGTACTTTTCTGTCTTTTGGTTTATGCTTTTCTGCTGTTGCTATATATTTCATTGATTTTCAGTCACTGGTAAAACCTATGGTAAGCATTGGCAAATCATAAGGAAATAAAGTAACCATTATACCACCGATCAACATAAATAGTCACAGTTATGTATTTTCATGAATTGTTACTTTTCTGTCTTTTGGTGTGTATTTTTCTGCTATTGCTGCATTTTTCGTAGATATGTATTCAATTATTTTGCTGGAAAAATCAACGAAAATGATCAATAAACAAAGCAACCACTCGATATTACCAATTAACAAACGATGTTTTCATAAGTTTGTTCTTTTTCCTGCTTTTGCTTATATTTTTCTTCTGTTAGCGTATTTTACGCTAGTCTGTATAGAAATACATACCGGAAAACCTTATGAGAAATTTTAAATATTCAATCAGTAACCCATTTGATATCACGAGCCGACGTAAATATTCACAATTATTTCTATAACTAATTTGTCTTTTTTTATTAAATAAAACGCCAATTCCATGTGGTTTTTTAAAAAGTAAAGTCATAACTTACTGTTTTACTTATTTTAGTTAAACATTTATTTGCAAATGATGATCTCAAAGCGAGGTAACTAGATTGGTTTTAGTTTGAGAAATTTGAAATAAAAAAAATGTTAAATTAAACATGGAGATAAATGCATAAATAATAATATAATAAAATTTGTTCTATCCCCTATTTTAAACATGTACCTAATTTCTAACAATATTGATTAGGATAATAAATTTGTGGTCAAAGTCGAAATAGTCGTGTACCTATTTTAAAAGAAAATATAATGAAATTTTTTTTTCATGGTAAGCTTTATGATAAAATGTTCTAAAATACTAATATCCATTGTTATACTTTATATTTCTCAAAAATGTAGACTCTGATGATGGTGTAAATTCACAAAACGCCCAAATAAATGTTTAAGTGAGTAATGTTAATGTACTTCAAAAATTGAAAACAAAAAACTACACAGAATTTTAATAGAATTTGAAAAGACAAATCAAGTCTTAAAAATTTCCATGTTATTTGAAAAACACCTACAAGAAGAAATTATTTTTATGAGTTGGTACTTTTTTTGTGTTTTGGTTTATTTTTATACTAACACGTGGCCGATTCGTATAAACTTGTATTCTGGACAAAACTATGAAGAAAAGATTAACTATTCAATCGGTATTAACAATTAGTATAAATATTCAAAACATTCTATTCTGAGCATAGATAAGTTAGGTATTTTCCAGGTTTGTGTCAGTATGTTGATTACTAATTATTAATTTTTATGAACATCACTCAATCTGAAGAAATCCTCCTTTTACTGTGTTATTGTTTTTTATAAGAAAAAACTAATTAATGAATTTGCTCTATTTAAAAGTGGTAATCACGAATTCGGTCCTGGCAATGTAACGATTTCATAAACAACGCGTTTTCCTTTAATTTATTTGTAATTAGTTTAAATGTTCTTTACCGATATTAATATACGAAGGAAACAAACATCGAATGCCATTAAATGAACAGTAAACAGTTTTATGTTCACCGAGAACGGTAATAGTACAAACATCGGTATCTCATAAGTTCATCAAAAATCTATTTTCTATGTGTCAGTCACCCGTGAGCACCCCAAAAAGAAATCTGACGCCACATTGATACCAGTTCGATACAAAACTAATATTAGCGAACGAATTTGAATTTTAAAATAAAGCTACAATTTTAATTCGGTTTGCGGGTATCGAACCGTCGGAAACTAGCCAATGATCAAATGGAAGTGACCTTCCATCTCCTTGCACGCGAGAAACACATCGGCCGCCGGCCATTGAACGAGGTGACTGTGATCAATGCCATGATTCCAACGTGAAAACTATGAGTGGGCGGTTTTCTAAACATGATTTTCACATCAAATATTTATTTTCCGTTTCGGTTTTTGATTCCGGGGAAAAGGATTCGATGGTTAAAATCTACGTAGAGAATGGTGACAAAAGGAAATAAATTAAAACTAACAACATTAAAACGATATCGATTTCATGCAAACCTCTGTTTTTAACGAACGTATCAAAACGATGTACAATAATTAGTTTAAAATCCATTAATTTTAATTATTATTGACGTTAATTGTCTGTTATTGTAAGACGAAAAAGGGAAGGGTTACACCCACAGATTAAAAAACCAGGGAATAAACAATATACACAAATTAATAAACCAGAAAAAGCAGAATAATATACCAAAGATTGCACCTTAAACTCAATTTAATAAATCAAAAAATACACACCACGCATACTCAAATCAATAAACCAGAAATTAAACATCACACACATATATCAATAAACAAAAAAATTCTCAACAAGCACACAAAACAAAAAGTAATTAGCTTGAAAATACACATCAAACCCAAATTAATTAACCAGAAATTGCATAATACACACACACACACACACACACACACACACACACACACACACACACACACACACACAACATGATAAACTAGAAATTAAACATCCCACACATATCAATAAACTAAAAATCACTCATCAAGCACACAATTTAATGAACCAAAAATTACTCATCATACATACAAATTATTAAACATGAAAATACACATCAAACCCAAATTAATAAACAATAAATTACGCGCGCACACATACATACACGCGTTGATATACCAGTAATTAAACATATAAGCAAATTAAGAACGTAGAAATTAAACATCAAACACAAATTAAGAAAACTGAAAAAATATTCATCACACAGAAATTACTATACCAAAAAATACTATTCAAACACACAAATTAATAAACAAGAAAATATACATCAAACCCAAATTAATAAATCATGAATCACGCGCACACACACACACACCCAAACACACAATTAATAAACCAGAAATTACACATCACACACACAAATTAATAAACCAGAAATTAAACATCACCCACTAAACTAATTAATAAACTAAAAAATACAAACTAATAAACCAGAAATTTCACATTAAACTCCACTAATAAATAAAAAACATGTTCATAAATTACTACCACGAATCAACATAAATATTCACAATTAATTACTTTCATTACTTGATACTTTTCTGTCCTTTGGTTTATATTTGTTGTTGTTGTATTTTTCATGTATTCAAATTCAGTTATATGCTGGAAAAACCAATGAGAGATTTGTAAAAATTATCAAAAACATAGTAACCATTTTATATCACTAATCAATATAAATTTGTTATTATAATTTTTTATCAATTATGAGTTGGTAATTTTTTGTATGTGCGTATCTGTTTGTATTTTAATACAGTTACAGTATTTTTCATAGATTTGTATTCAAATACAAACTGGGTAAACTTACGAGAAACTTGTAAAATTTAGCAAGGATTAAGTAACTAAGTAATTCGATATCACCAATCAACGTGGTGTTGAAAATTAATAAACCAGGAATTAAACATAACACAAATTAATCAACCTGAAATTACATATCCCACCCAAATTAATAGACCAGAAATTATGCATCACAGCCATTTAAGGTAAATACTTATTTTTAGTTAAATGATTACATGGGCACAAGTAATATTGAGAAGAAGGTTTGCCAATAAACGCAGGTATTAAACCAGGTATGATAGATTGGAGGTCGATCATTAAAAAAAATGTTATGATGATCTTAATGTAAAATGATCATTTTCTTCTGATCTGAACGGTCACACAATTTTTTGGGGCCAATCCATTTTCTACACACAATCTTTGGAAAGTATGTATCCGTCGAGTCATCCAGTACAGTTCGAGGTCTGAGAGTAGAAGTGAAGAAGGACCTCGACCTAGAGTCGACGGAACCAGTTTTCAAGTGCCATCACAAGACCGCCTGTCTGGACCGCACGATGTTTGAATATGGTCAAACATTTATGCTAATTTTATCGCTCGGTTAGCGAATCTTGAGCCGCTTGTGGACAGTTTAGTTACTTGTCTTCATTTATCATCGTTTGTGTTTGTCTATTGCAGGTCGTTTCGGTCTGCCTATTTTCGCTTTTTTTGGTCCGTCCAATTGTCTAAAATGATCGGAAACGATCAAATTATAGGTTTGTCATTCCGCAGACCCAATGAGGAAAACTCACAATTTCATTCTTTTACTGTACGTGTCGCTTTGTTTAAAAATTCAAAAATGTCACCCAATTCTTCACTAATTCCTACACTAACCAGACTTAAAGAACAAGCCGAATAAGAATTTGTTAAAGAGTAGGACACTTTTTCCAGCGACTCATCAATACAAACATGTGAAATGGTGGGGAGGAAAGGGGACAGATCATAGTCCTCGTTAGTACAATGGGGTCGCGAGTAAGATGCTGGAAAGTAGGCCTGGAATGCATTACCAGGTGGTTTTCCCTAAACAATTCCTGCAGTTCTGAAAGGACCAGAAATTAATATAATAGTAGTTGGAGTAGTTTTAATCGAAATAATCCGTGGTTATTTTAGCCTTAAAACACTTTCTCTCCGATAATACCGACAATTAAACAAAATGAAATACTCATACTGGCATTTAGGTCAACTCCGTTCATTCTTCATCCTGGTCGCCTATTCCCGCTGTGTTTAGTGACAATTTTATTTTAATTGAAACTGAATGCTTTATGTTTCATAACTCTATGCTTTTGAAGCTTGAACATCTTACACTTATTGCCTCTGGTCATTCTGGTCCGTCCGTACTTGTAGATTTGGTCAGGCAAACATGTTTCGGCATTTCTGTATCTCTAGTGTCAAAACGATATTCTTGTTTTTTGTATAATTATCTATTTTTGCGGAACATTTTGCGTATATGTTTTTGAATTGTGAAAGTGTTTAAGAAATCTTTAAAATTCCTGGTTCGTCCAATTTCGCTCGTTTGGTCTGTTAAAAACCTGTCTATATTTTTCCACCTTCAGTGGTAAAAATTATATTATTTTTGCGATTTTACTCTTTATGTTTGCTTAAGCTGTACATTTTGAGTTTGAATACTTTTATTTCCTTTTATAGTTTTGATTGTCAGACGCTTTTTCTACATTTCCATCTTCTATGATAAAATTATAAAAATTATATTCTAGTTGTGTTATTATTTTGGTATGTCAGACGCCTCTTAGCTTTTGTAAATAATATCAATTAAACATCTATGGTTTATGCCGCACTTTTGGAACTTGAGCATCTTGTTTTTTACCGTTTTTGGCAATCTTGGTCCGCCTAATCTCGCCAGTTTGGTATGACAGACACTCCTTGTCTTTTATAAATAATATAAATTTAACATCCTTGTTTTTATACCATACTTTTGGACCTTGAGCATCTTGCTTTTACCGTCTTTGGCAATGTTGGTCCGCCTAATCTCGCCAGTTTGGTCTGACAGACGCTTCTTGGCTTTTATAAATAATATAAATTTAACATCTATATTTTTGTACTACATTTTTGGAGCTTGAGCATCTTGCTTTTATCGTCTTTGGCAATCTTGTTCCGTCTAATCTCTTTGTTTGGTCTGCAAGACGCGTTTGGGTATTTCTTTATTTCCAGTGGTCAAATTTATATTTTACAAGTTTTAAACTGCTCTTTTGGGGCATGAACTAGCTATTTTGATCTTTCAGACGCTTCTTGGCTCTTTAAGTATTTTTTCCACTGTACTTTTGGCGCTTGATGTCTTGCTTTTATGCCTTAGGCAATCCTGGTCCGCCTAATCTCGCTGTTTGGTCTGCAAGACGCGTTTCGGTATTTCTCTATTTCCAGTGGTCAAATTTATATTCTACAAGTTTTAAACTGCTCTTTTGGGGCGTGAACTAGCTATTTTGATCTTTCAGACGCTTCTTGGCTATTTAAGTATTTTTTTCCACTGTACTTTTGGCGCTTGATGTCTTCCTTTTATGCCTTAGGCAATCCTGGTCCGCCTAATCTCGCTGTTTTTGTCTGTCAAAAACGTTTCTACATTTCACCATCTTCTGTGGTCAAAATTATATTCCACTTATTTTACACTGTTCTTCTGGACATTGAACATAGGTTTTATCGTGACATTCTGGTCCGCTTACCTTCGCTGTTTTGATCTGTCAGACGTTTAGCTTTATAAATAATATAAATTTAGCTATGTTTGTAGGTTGGACATATGATTTTTATTGTCTTTGGCAATCCTTAGCCACCTATCTCGCTGGTTTGGTCAAAAGTGTTTCCAAGTTTATCCATCTTCAGTATATTATAACTTAATTAAATGCCGTATTTGTAGATATACTGTACTTTTGGAGCATTTATCGGCTGTCAGTACATCCGCTGGCAGACTTTCTAACAAATTAACGAAGACTGGCAGACTAGGATGACCCGAGACGTCAAACTACTCCACAGATCGCAAAAATTAAATCCCACGGTTAATTAACAAAAACTGAACAAAAGCATTCGGATTTATTAGGTCTTTTTGCAATTTGCGAAGAAATTCCTAGGGTGGGAAAGCGTTTTGAACCAAACGGGAAATTATATATTAAGATTGAAATTCTACGAAACACAGGGCTATAGTTCTATTTTTCTTAAATAATTGGAAGTAATTTTTTTCGTAAATTCAGCTAATTCTTTCAATTTCTTTGTTTCCTAATAGCCTGCGGATAGGGCAATTTTCTTCAAATCTACGGTTCAAATCTAATTTTCTTTTATGGCATAAGGGCAATTACACAACAAGGCAATTCAAAATAAGTGGTGCAAAGCTGCTCGTTGACAGTATCCAAAATAGTTATTTCCAAACAAATATCAACTTAGTTGTACTTCACATATCTGCTCTACTTTGATCTTCAATAAATACAACAGAAAAGTTCAAATTAGATTAATTTTGTTATCTAGATTTCTATGGTGATATTTGATTCAAGGTTTGGAAACACCATGAGAAATATTTTACCTCGTTTTGTTAATACAATCAAGAATGATATAATGACTAAATTACTTGTCATTAAGCTTGCTTCTTTTTTTTTTAAATTTAAACCTTTAATCTTTGCAAATGTACGCTCTTGGGTTTATATTCTCAAATGGTTAATCATTAAGGCTAAGGCCGGCAGTTCGGTTCTCACCGGTTGAATTAACTTCTTACCCGATGGGAATTGTCCAATTCTAATATGAAAAGAAAAATTGAGATATCGCGATATATCACACAAGATCTTCCACCTCAAGTGGAACATCGAGGAGAAATATCCGTTTTGTTGGGCGTGTCCAATTTTCAACGCTTACGGCTTGTTACAGCTTTTGTTGTCCCGTACTTTTGTACCCAAGTTTCTTTTTTCCCTCCAGCATTTACAAAATACGGTTTATGCCATAAAACCGTTAATAATTTTATGTTATTTTGAGTAGTTGGAACAGCTGAATTTTTTTAATCAGCTTCACGGCCTAAAATTATCTGGCTAATATAATCACATTCTAATAATACAGTTCAAAATTCGGATCGGAAGTATGAGCATAGTTAAATCCATAAAACGTTATGCTTCAAGGCCAATTAATTATTGATAAAACTTATTTATGGTTTTGGTTCAAAGTCGGTTTCAGTAACAAAAAAAAAATAAATTGTGATAATGTGATATCCTTTTTTTAATTTCAAAAATCTAACCTATATTGTTAAAATCTAAAATTTAAACCGTGTGTTTTTAAATATACCCAAAATAAAACTGTTGATACCGAACTTCATTCAACCACGTTAAATTTGATTAACAAATTAAATGATTTTGAAATGTTTTATTTCTTTAAAATATTTTTCATATATTATAATTTTTTTTTTAAATATAGTTCATATTTTGGCTTATCCTAGTGATGGCGGTTGAAACGAACTTAGAATTAGAACCAAAATGTCGATTATGAGGCAGAGACAGTGTTAAAATAAAACCTAACAAGCCGGAAAATTTCATATGTTTTACGTTTTTATAGTTAAAAAATTAGTCGTCGACTTTTTTTTTTGTTTATTTGTTTCGGTTAGTTTCTGTGATTTTTAGTGTTTAGGGATAGAGAGAAAAAATTCCAAGTACGAAGTATTGGACTTGACGTGAAGCTGAAGCCCAGGAGAACTCGCCATTTTAACCTTATTTTTTTAATTCAAAGGGACAAAATCCGGTAAGGTCATTCCAACGTTAGTTTCAATATCTTGATTAGTTTTTTAAATTCAACTGGAAAATTTAAATTGGTTATTTTTATCAGGAAAAATTGAAAATGGAATTATGTTACAAGATAACACTCGTTTAATTAAATAATTAATTGCATTCATGAGATGAAAATTGATTGTAATTTCCATATTTTTTTCTTTTTCGTAACTTTTTTTCATATTTCCATGGCATATTAAATAAATAACTCAGTCAATATACGTACATGTAAATGTAACCAGTTGGATCCTTTAAGTTTAATTTATTTTCTGTCATCGTATTCCTGAAAAGCTTAATTCATTCATACGATAAGTCCAATCATTCACTTGTTCACGAACTTTTTAAAATAATTTTTTTATTGGCTTTAAAAGAAATTTTATTTTATTCCACTATGATCATATCAAACGATGTTTCTAATATGGATTTAATTATTATTATTTTGATTTTTTTTATACATGGTATCAGCCTATTTTAAAAGATGCTTAAAAACAGCTGATGGTTGTCATTTTTTGATAAAGTAAAAGCATGGTATCAAATATTCAAAATAAAATGTTATCGCACTGATAATGGTATTTTATTGTATGTCGATGCTTCTAGAATCCAAACAAGAATTTTAGGCCTTTATGAATAATTTAAATTAAATAATTGTTGAAGTATAATGCTTTATATTTTCCAATGCACATTTGGGGCATGAACTTCTTGATTTTAACGTCTTTGGCACTCTTGGTCCGCTTAATTTCGCTACTTTATCGACTGATAATGGTATTTCATGGCATATCGATGCTTCTAGAAATAAATAATCTAGGCAAGAAGTTTAGGCCTTTATGAATAAATTAAATTGAATTATTGTTGAAGTATAATGCTTTAAATTTTATACTGTCCATTTGGGGCATGAACTTCTTGATTTTAACCTGTTTGGTACTACTGGTCCGCCTAATTTCGCTACTTTAGTCGGTCAGTCACGTTTCGATATTATTTATCTATCTTCAGCGTTCAAATTTATTTTTATTGCGTGCATCCTGGTAAGCGTATTGTCGCCTGGCGCGTTTCTGCATTTCTCTATTTCCAGTGTCAAAATTATTTTCTAGTTGTTTTACACCGGTCTTCTGAGGCTTGAACACCTTGGTTAGGACATTCCAAGTCTTCTGGTTCGCGTATCTGGTTTGGTCTGTTTTTGTCTGTCAGAAGTTTTTAGTCATTTTGCCATCTTCTGCGGCAAAAATTATATTCTTTTTTTAATTAATGCTCAGTTCTGTAACACTGTGCAATTGGAGCTTGACCACCTGGCATTTAACGTCTTCCTGGTCCGCCTAATCTCGCTGGTTCGGTCTGCAAGACACGTTGCGACTCTATCTCTGTCGTCAAAATTGTATGGTCGTTTTCCATTGTGCTCTTATATCGTCTCAGATCGTTCTGACCAGCTTATTTTCTTTGTTTTGGTCTATCAGATGCTTCTTGGCTAAATAAAATAAATTTATCGCTCTATATTTTTTCCACTGTATTTTTTTTTTTTTTTTTGCTGGGGCTTCCGACATCTAGGTCATTTCAGCCCCCCACTTAGTCTATATTCTATATTCTATACCCGTTCAAACACAACATTCATACAAATAAGTACATTCATACACTTAAATACATCCATACAGTACACTCATTCCGTTTGGTCGGTGGAGTACTTGATATTCCTCCACCGACCTACACTTAAACTAAACTAGATTGGGGTCGATGGGGTACTTTTATAAATATTCCGCCATCGACCCCGAACACACACTCACTCGCTTTCATCGTTCGAGGGGCGATGATGACGTTATATACACCCTCACCCCTCGCCATTCACGCTAATAAATACATGCACACAGACAAAACATATAGACACATAACACATAAGACATACTATATTCAATAAAAAAACCCCAATTTCCCCTAAAAAGCGGAACAGGGGACTCTGAAACTCGCTACCATGCTCGAGAACTCTTCTTAAGTCCGGCGGCATGCCTACACGCTCTCTGTATGGAGCCAGGCATGACACGCCTCTATTATGTGGAACACATCGAGCAACCTTTCTCTACATAAGGGGCACCTGCGCGGGCTTTGGCCCAAAAGCAGGTGCCCATGTGTCAACCGCGTATGGCCAATCCTCAGTCGGGTGAGGACGTATTTTTTATTATAACACCTTCCATTTATTATCACTCACTCTGGGGGTCCCAATCTCCTGGTTTGGTCAGTTAAATACCTATTGGCCACCATCTTCCATGGCCAAATTTATATTATTGTTGCCTTTGAACGCACTATCTTATGTACTTTTGGAGCTTGAACACCTTACTTTTGCATTTCAATTTTTCCTGATCCGCCTTTTCTCGCTGTTTTTGTCAGCTTGAAGCGTTTTTACATTTTGCCATATTCTGTGACAAAAATTATATTCTTGTTGTAGTATAATGTTTATGTTTTTTTGCACTATATTTTAGACACCTTCTATATCAGTTCAGATCGTTCTGGTCCGCCCATTCTCGCCGTTTGTGTCTTTCAGAATCGTTTCGGTATTTTACCATCTTCTGTGGCCAAAACTTCTTGTTGTAGTATAATTTTAATTACACTGTATAATTGAAGCTTGAACATTTTGCATTTAACGTCTTTGGCATTCTTCGTCCGCCTAATCTAGCTGGTTTGGTCAGAAGCGTTTTTTTTTTTTCATTTCGCCATTTTCTGTGGTCCAAATTATATTCTAGTTGTTTTACACAGTGCTTCTAGTTCTTCAACGTAGTTTTAATCATCTCAGATCATTCTGGTCCGTATATTCTCACTATTTTGATCTTTTATACTTTTCTTGCTCCCTAGCCAACCCTTACTTTTATTGACTTGGGTCTTCCTGGTCCGTAAAATCTCGCAGGTTTGGCCTGTCAGACGCGTCTTGGCTTTATACGAACTTCTGTTGACAAATTTATATTATTGTTGAAATTTAATACACTACGATTTTTTTTCGCTGGAACTTTAACTTTTGCTTCCATCGTCTTAGGAAATCCCGGTCCGCTTAATCTCGCCGTTTTTTTCTGCCAAATGTTTCTGCATTATCGCCATCTTCTGTGATCAAATGTGTATTCTGGTCCGCTTATTCTCGCTATTTATATACTGTTCAGACCCTTCTGGACATCTTTGCTGCTAATAATAAATTATCTGGCTAATATAATCACATTCTAATAATACAGTACAAAATTCGGATCGGAAGTATGAGCATAGTTAAAACCATAAAACGTTATGTATTGTGTTGTTGGCGAAAATTATCTACCTTATGATAAGTAATAAATCGTCAAATACCACACCAAATTGCCAAAATTCTAAATGTAACCCTGCAGGAAATGTACAATTTGTCAGTCCAAGGAAGAAAATGTATCACGATCAGTAAAAGAGGTTCGAACTCTTGACAAAAGTTTTATATTCTTAATTAAAAATTACAGACACAACGACCTTTTATGCTTAGCTAAGTAGAAAATGTTACCAGCGTCGCGCAACGGCTCAGCTTAGTTTCCGAACGGTTCAGAGATGTTGCGAAACAAAACAAAAATAGGTGTGTTCCTTCCCGTTCAGATGGGTAACATTGGCGACATTGAAAAAATTTGGACTAGATCGCAAACGTTAATCTGAGATAATCCATCACAAAGTGGAATTAAACTTAAAAACAAATCGATAATTTGCAAGGGTTTATGTTGATTGTACCGATAAATAAAAATGCAAATAAAAGAGCTTGTGGCAATAGTAAAAGCTGAGAATGATTTAAGCTACAATCTTAAAAACAACGATTGTTTAAATTTAAATATTTTTCTTCACATTATGAACAAGAGGCTTCAAAATAACTCTAAGACGTCCTGAACCTATTTCTGAAACACGATCTGTCTTCAAATTTTAGGTATGCCAAAAGGTCATTGTCATAAATGGTACATTCCATTAGTCACTGTATTCTTCGTTTCATTTCCTTTGGCTGTCAAGTAAAATCGATCGGCAAATTCCTTCATTATTTCTGAAGGATGTTGCATTTCTAAGTCACTGAAACTGGACAGACCCAGTTTCTGAATAAAATCATCAGTAAAATCATGACTGAGCAAAACTGTCACCTTGACCTTAAATCCATTCAGCAGCTAGACAACTGCCTTAAAAGGTAAAAAAGGCAAATTTATTAGTTTAAAAAACAAAAACAAACAAGCTATCCTAGCCTCCAGGGAACTTTATGCTTAGTCCCGATTTAGAACTGAGAATACCATAAAAACAATAAAAAACAGCATCTTTGGCATTCCAGGTCCGCCTGTTCTCGCTGGTTTGGACTGCCAGACACGGTTCGGTATTTTTCTATCTCCTGGGGTCATATTCTAGTTGTTTTACACTGTATTTAAGGAGGTTGAACATCGTTTTCATATTCTCAGGCCATGCTGGTCCTGTGTTCTTCACCATTTTGGTCTGTCAGACACGTTTTAGCTTTATAAATAATATAAATTTAACATTATATGTTTTTTCTCTGTACTTCTGTCGTTAGGACGCCTTGTATTTAACGATTTGAGCATTCCTGGTCCGCCTAATCTCGCTGGTTTGGTCTGTTAGAAGGTTTCGGCATTTCGCCATCTCCAGTGGTCAAAATTATATTGTAGTTATTTTACACTGTACTTTTGGAGCTTGAACATCGTTTTTATAGTCTTAGGTCATTCTGGTCCATTTTATCTTCACCATTTTGGTTTGTCAGACGCTTCTTTGCTTTTGTAAATAGTTAATTAAGGTTTTTAGTTGAGATGAAAAAAAGTTAATGGCACAAGAGGGATTCGAACCCACGACCTTCGGCTAGATACGCCGCTGCTCTACCACCTGAGCTATCGTGACCTCGATCCACTCGAACATCAACTCCCCATCTCAACCCCACCCTATGAGTTTTCCCTCCTTTTGCCATTTTTCAAATGTCGTGTAATCGGTTTGGATTCTCGACGACAATTGAAATTGATGTCCGAGTGGATCGAAGTCACGATAGCTCAGGTGGTAGAGCAGCGGCGTATCTAGCCGAAGGTCGTGGGTTCGAATCCCTCTCGTGCCAATAACTTTTTTGTCATCTCAACTAAAAACCTTAGTTAATTGTCTTGTATTAATTGGTCAAGCGGACCACGAAAATAGTGAATTAATTTGTAAATAATATAAATTTAACATTCTATGTATTTACACTGCGCTTTTGGAGCTTGTGCATCTTGCTTTTACCGTCTTGGGCAATCTTGGTCCGCCTAATCTCGCTGATTTGATCTTCCAGACACGTTTCGACCTTTCTCTATCTCTAGTTGTCAACATTATTTTCTAGTCACTGTTTCTAAATGTTTTATTATTTTTATTATTTTCTAATTGTTTTAATTTGTATTTTTGGAACTTGAACACCTTAATTTTGATTTGTCTGGTCATGTTGATCCACCCATCTCGCTGGTTTGGGTTGTGAGAAACGTTTCGGAATTTCTCCATCTCCAGCGGTCAAAATTATAATGCTTGAATTTTTACCCGGCTCTTTTGAAGTGAAATTTGACCAATTTAGAACTTAGAACACCGCTTTTAACGACTTCAAATGAGTGATTTATTAAGAATTCGACCTGAAGTTTGTATTTCCTTTAGGGCGAGTTACAATCGCACAAATCCTCCAACTATACGACAGAAGAAAAGCTAAACAGGAGAAAGACGTGTTGAATCTAAAGTTAAGTTAAAGATAAGTCCTTTGAGGAAAACTAATTTTTAGGTCAATGTTTAATATACAATGTTTAAGTTACAGTTCTCAAACAAAAAATTTGGTAAAAAAACTAGTTTTTGTAAGTAAAAAAACTCATACGTTGATACTACAACATTGACCCAGTCACACGAGCCCACTGACCGGCTCAGAAAAACTGGTTCGCCGGTGATAGCACGTCAATTTAGAGCGATATGCCCTTCGGGATAAGGCGAGCTTTTTTTTTAGATTATTTTCTTACTTTCCTTGTTCCCACAGTCTAAAGATTAAAAATACAATTGTATAAGGTAGCCCGCAATCATTGACTACCGTCGACTCGGCAATTTTTTCTTCAAATTGTCTTTGTTTTGCCGTGATTTTGTAGTTTAGGATATCGATTGGTGATTTATGATCAAATGAATAAATCCGCCGAAACGCGTATTATGAAACTAAAACCCACTGGCAAAAAATTTTCTTTGTTTTTCCTAATCGAAAAAACAACAATCGCTGAAAGGAAAAAATTGTGAAATAACGTCGTTAGTAAAACGAATTGTGCGACCTGTAATAGCCCCTTTTGGCTTTTGATATGTGCAATTTCCCATAAATTATCCTTGCAATCGTTTGTTCTTGTCAAGAATTCCTAATTTGATCCATTAATAAAATTATAACGAGTAATAGAGGTGTGGAAACGTTTTCAAATATTGTCTATGGTAAATAATCATAAAGATCTTTTTTATATATTTTTTAAGTGGTACACCAGGAAGAGTCGGGCTTACCGAAACGGTTCGTAATACAAGATAAACAAACCCGAGGACCTCAATTTTTATGATAAAAAAAGACGAGAAGTTGGTTGCCAATGTCGCGTCTAACCCACTTTTCCCTTGAAGATCATCAGCCAAGGTTGCACCAGGAGGGCGTTCACCTTTTTATTTATTTATTTACACGAGTAGATGCCCAAAATGCAATTTAAAAAAATTTAAATTTAAACAATTTAAAACTTTAATTATACATTTGTAAAAGATTGAACGACAAACAATTGTTAACAGCCTATTTATAGAGTATAAACATAATATTAATTTATTATAATTATATACTAAGCAGTATATACAAATCTTATATTCTGTTAAACAGTGATAGAACTAAAACTTCCAATTATAATTTTTTTTTAAAGTAACAATCTAATTATTTTGATATAATCTAATGGTTTATAAAAAAAAAACTACTGAACATATCCATTTGTGGAAATATTTGAATAAAGTTATCAACTATTTTTTGGAGTTGGTTGATACCAGAATGAAAAAAGATAATCATAAGGAATGAAGAATATAGATGATTATTTGATTATTGAGTGAAACTCAGAAATTTAAGTGAGAAAGTAATAAAGAACAATCGAGTCCATTATTTATTAAGTTATTTTTTTAAATAAACACGAGATTTAAATGAAAATAAATGAGCAGTAGATTGGAGATGAGGAATATATGAGGAATGAGTACTAAATTGAATTTTAATTGGAAGGAGATAAATTTAAAGAAATTATTTTGAACTTTTCTGAAGAATGTTTCTGATAGAGAAGATAAGGAGACAAGACAGGAGAAGAGAATTCAAGATTAGAATGGACAAAGAGTAATAGAATTGTTTAAAGGCAAGTAATGCAAAATATAAAGCCTAGCAACTAAGAAGATTTATTTACTATCGATGAATGTAGCGAAAAAGACATATTGGGCTGAAACGTGACTCCTAGGTCTTTAATATAATCAACAGGTAAAACAATATTATTATCATTATTATAATAGGAACAGAATTTTACATAGGTTTTTGAAGCATTTATAGTCAAACCATTTTTATTAAACTAATGAATTATTCCTGCGAGACTTTTCTAAGAGAACCTGAGCACTCGAAAATTCGTGGTAAATTTTGAGATCAACTACAACAAGAAAAAAAATTAACAGAAGCATTGGAAGAATCAAAATCGTTAAAAATAAAAAAAACAATAGTGGTCTTAAATGAGACCCCTGTGGAACACCAGAGCAAGCGTGATTTCATTAGCAAGAGAAGAACGAATTTTAACAATTTGAAACTTTTCTCTTATAATTCTACTTAATGCCTTACTTAGGATATCTATTCGAAAGTATGTGTATGACTTTTATGCAGATCGAGCTTTGCAGCGAACCCAGATAGCCCAAACTTACACCTATGGTATAGATGATTGATTTGTCGGTTAATTAAATTTTATTGTAACTTTTGACAACAATTTAACAATAGTATTATTTAAACAAAAAAAATTATAATTAAAACTGAAATACATAATTTTCAGAAATCATGAGATGTGGTCTGGTGTGATGTAGGTTTCAGAAAAACATTTTCTTTATCGTGCCAACGTTTCGATCTTTATTGAGATCATCTTCAGGGCTCAAAGTGTTTTNACAAACACTTTGAGCCCTGAAGATGATCTCAATAAAGATCGAAACGTTGGCACGATAAAGAAAATGTTTTTCTGAAACCTACATCACACCAGACCGCATCTCACAAATTTTCAGAATATTTTGCATATAATAAAACAAGTTTTTAATTGGTTAATTGGTTTTTAATTGGTTTTGTTCTAACCAAATTGCTTTAATATTTTCTTTTGGTATATGTCTTTATTTAATTTTAAAAAGTCCTTCTATAAAAACAACCTTACAAGTTTGTTTGTATGGGCATGACAATAAAATAATTTTTTATAAACAATTTTAAATAAGTTATCGGTTTAACTTTTAATATTTTTTTTTTTACAGAGGCGATGATAAGTACTTGGTCAGTAGTATCATCACCAGTTCACATGGCTGTTATATTGCCGCTCTATCTGCTTTTTATATACAAGACTGCGCCCCAGTTCATGTCTACGCGGAAACCGTATGAGCTTAAGAAGACGATTATGGTCTACAATTTGCTGCAAATCCTAGGAAACGCTTATATGGTCGTTGTGGTAGGTTTATTGATTTTACCAAATATGAAAACTCAACTGTTAAAATGACTAACTGTATTTCAAATTATTTCAGTATGTTAATATGATGCGGAACAAGCCATTTTCTTTCTGGAGTAATGTCTGTTATCCAGTGTCGGCTGTGCAAAATTTCGACCCCCTTGCCAAAATTGAGGTATAATTAATTAAGGTAATCCAATGGAAGTGCAATAATATTCAAGGCAATCTTATTTTTATTCCAGCTTTTAAACGGAATGTATTTGTACTACACAAATAAAATCGTCGATTTACTTGATACGGTATGTTTAAATATTTGTTTTTTTCAAGTCTAATATCATTAAATGTAAATTGAATTTTGTTTTTAGGTGTTCTTTGCTCTTAGGAAAAAAGATTCTCAAATTACATTTTTGCATGTATTTCATCACATAACAATGATTGCTAGCACCTGGCTCTCAGTATTTTATATCAGAGGTAATATTTAAAAACCTAAAACTTAAGTTTAAGAAAAGCACATCAAGTAGTACAAATGCAACTTAATATATCACATATATATACAAAATCTATGAATTGTATCTTTTAAGTTACTATTTTTTCTTAATTTTCAGAGGAAATAAGTGCTGTATTTGCAGTCACTAATGCTGTAATCCATGTAGTAATGTACTCTTACTATTTTCTTTCGTCACTGGGGCCAGCTGTACAAAAGCACCTCTGGTGGAAGAAGTACATCACCAAGATGCAAATTGTAAGTACCTTTAAATGTCAAATATATGTGGCTATTTATGCCAGTTGCTATTAATTAACATTTGTCTCAGGCTCAGTTTGTTTTCGTCCTGTCAATCCTTGGTAAAATGTTGTTCGAGGGTTGCAAGTGCAACATGCTTTTCTGGGGCATATGGGCATTCAACGTCTCGGCCTTTTTAGTACTCTTTTCCAACTTTTACATTCAATCTTATACCAAAAAATTGAAAACCAAATCATCGTAGAGAATGCTATTGTGCTTGGGATTATTATTATTATTATTTAGAAATTACCATTTAGCATATAATAGTTTTCCTACATGCCAATTGTTTTCATTCCCTACGAAAGATGTTATATTTATTAACTCATTATCTTAGTACATTTATTTTTAATTATCAATTCATTTACATTACTACACATTTAAAATTTATAATTTTATTCAATTGTTTGTTTTATGTCATTGTTTTATGACATGAAATATGAAATTAACACTATTTGTTATTATTTATTTTAAATTATTAAATCATTTTACTTTAATTCTTAAAGAATAATTTTGATCAACAAAAAATAAGTAAACGTTAACAAGATTAACAAAAAATAAATCAACAACGTTAAGTACAATGTTTAAACAGATAATAACTATTTCCTCATTAATTTTAATTGTATTTATAGTCTGACCATATTTTTGATATGTGAAAAACATACAGAAAAAATATTTCAATTATGTGTGAAATCTAATTGGAAAATCTTTAAATTGAGGATTATTTTTGTAATTTTATTTCTCAAAATTTTAAACCACCTTTTGTTTGTTTTTATGTTCCATCCAATGACACATTTAATAATGTATCTGTGATAACTAACAAATGATAACATTTCAGTCATGAAATGTGAAAAAATCATATGTAATTAATATTTGTATTATATTTGTGTTGTATTGCATGTAAATGTTCGTCCCGAATTTCTTTCCATGTGGTGTAAACGTGAAAAATATGAAAAGTGTTCTTGCATGCGTACAGGTTACATTTGTGTAAAATCGAAAAGCATTTAAAAATAGGTTCATATAAGATAAATCATGACAACTAGTTCCTAAGCCACTGTGTATCGTGTATTTTTTAAAAATAAATGTAATCATTCGCCTCTTATATACAAATTTTATAAAAAAATTATTTTAACTAAAATAAAATAAAATATATAAATAAAAACAAATTGTATAAAAAAATCAACCACAGAGCTAAATAATAAGTTGTTATATTAAATAAACAATTATTATATTAAAATATTATAAAAAAATGTATCTTATTTTTTTCTTTATCCCCTTCTTTATTTTATTTGAATGTTGCAAATTCTTTTTAATGGTGTGCTGTTTTTCAGGCTCAGTTCATCCTGTTTCTAACTTTACTCGCCAAAATGAAAGTTGACAGATGCGATTGCAGCACTTTGTTTTGGACTCTGTGGATATTCAACACAACTTCCTTCTTGGTACTATTTTTACATTTTTATTGGAGAAATTACAACAAACAGTTGAAGAAGAATAGTTGAAGTACTACAAGGAAGTTAAAGAGGCCAAATATAGATTTAAAAAAAGTTAGTCGATTTTTTTTTTTTAATTTGCATTACTGTAAAAGTATAAACAAAATGATGCTTTGTTAAATTATTGTAAGGTACGAGATATATTGTACAATATTTGATTTTTAGTCGTTTAGTTCAAATAAATTTAAGTTCAAGAATTTTCTAGTTTCTGTTTGTACTTTAAATTTTAATATGGATGAAACAGGACCAAAAATATAAATTAATATTTTATCGATGATGATGGTAGATACTAGGAAGCGGGGTTTGAGCTCCTCGGGCGCTGCATCCTTCTGGCTAATGGTATCTTTCTAGTTATCTAGTTTGATTTTCGACTCAATCCTTCCTCTCAGAAGCATTAGGTCATTGACAGACCCTACAATTTTATTCGCGATTGGGGCTGGATTGTACGATTAGGATTGGGATTGGGGTAGGAAGAAGGTAGGACATGAGATTAGGGTTTAGGAGGTGAGAGGTACTGCTTCTGTTCCTCCGTAACTCTCTTTCCGTCAGTTTGATGAGCCTCATGAAGATGGAAAACTGGAGTTGAGTATTAGAGACTATTAGACATACCCGTTCAAACTCCAATTATTTTATCACTTGTACTGTACATTGAACTGCAGCAATTTTATTTATTAACTGAATCTTTTTGACATCATGACCTGTCCTCTTCAGTGTTAATTAAAGTGGACTTCCCAACAGTTAAATAATTGTAATGTATTATGTATGCAATGTATTTATTATATAAAAATGTATGTATTTTATATTATATAACATTTTCTAATTAATATTTTATATTACATTGTTTTTCCCCCCTAAGAACCATAAACGCCCTAGATAATTTAATATGAGTAAAAAGTGAATCCAGAAATAATATAATCAGGATTTATTACCAATGCACAGCCAGACATTGCAAAGTTGCAAGTACAACTGATGGGAGCACTTGAATACATCACAGTACCAAATTTGAACATCAGCTTTAAGCTGAAAATTGCAAAACCAAATCTGCCTTCATATGGAATTTCGAATACTCAATCAAGGAAAATTAACGGATGTCCTTGAAAAAGAAAATAAAAAGGAGAAGAAAAAGAAACCCTTGTGGACACATATCAGAGACGTTTGTTGATAGAGTGAAAAGTAATAAGCATAAAGGTCAACAAAAAAATTATGCTAGTCCAATAAAATAGCTGTTTGTAAAAACAGAATGTATAGAGTACACAACTGAGGACAAAATACAACTGCTTCAACTTATTGTTAGACAGATAATGAAGATCAAATATGATGTAGAACTCATCAGTGCGCTGTAAGTACAAAAAAATATAGTTGAATATCTACAAATTCTAAGTTCTACAGTCAATTGATTATATAAATCTATAAAAATATAACAAAAAATTATAAGTATATTCAAAGACTTAAAAGATATGGATGTCAACTTATTGTCAAGTTCTAAGTTGAAGGTTAAGATATCAGTCCTTATTTATTGTTATTTTTCTATGTTTTATAAGTTGGGGATGGTGTTTATATTTTCTGTATTTATTATTTGATTGCTTTTGTAATAAGTTTATCAATTTATTTTTGAGAATTAAGAACTGGAAGTTATGTTTTGTCATCCAGGAAAAGGCGATTTCCTTTACAGTGCCATATTGGTTTTCTCTTGAAGAATGTGAATGAACCAGGTAGAAAACAATTATTTTCAAAGTTGTTTGACAAGGTAGAAAGTGATTGTGTTCCTTCGTTTCTCCTACGTTTTATACGATAAAAATTATTTTAAAACGAGACAGATTATCGCCGAATGTTGCCAATTCGAAACAGAACAGAAACTAAGCCGAAGTTCGAAAAACCAACTCGCGGAATTCTGTAACGGTCGGATTTGGCTGCCGGAGAATTGCCAACTACGACTATATGGAATAATTCACAGTTTGACAGGCCAGCGATCGGTGACACAACCTATTCATAAGACTAGAAAGTTGCTAGCTAGTTTTTGTCATGTGAACAATAGAGGCGCCCGATCGCCATGGCCAAGTATCATAACCGAACATTCCTCCGGTTTAATGTTAGGACCGTTTTTGCTCTGGACTATGATGAATAGAGAAATTATTAAATTATCTCTTATTTTATACGTTCATTTTGCAGTATTAAATTATAATTTGGAGTTTGGTCGTTTCCGATCGCTTTTGATATTCCTAACTTCACTGCTTTGGTTTGGCAGACGCGTTTCGGCTTCTCGCCATGTTCAGTAGTTATCAGGGTATATGAAGGGAAAGGCACTGACAAGCCGTCACATCAGACCAAAACATGGAAGGTAGACAAGCTAAAAATCATCCGAAACGACAACAAACTGGTTCATCACCCCGCACACCTTACAAGGAAACTCACAATAATTTTTTTTTTAAAATAATTTCCAGTACATTTTAACTTAAATTCGGCACAATGATAAAGGTAATATATACACAATTAAGAACAAGAAACTATTTAAATTAGGCTTGTATTACTATCACTGTCACTGTCAGTTGATAGGAGATGCTGCGGACACTGTCTTTTTTGCCGGCAAAGAGGGTTTGAGGGAATAGTCCAGAAATAGTCGGGATGCCAATTGGTGAATTTCAGTATTTATGGTGCTTGGGAGGGTTTTATGAAACTTGCGGTAACGGGAGTGCAAAGTGTAACCTCGGACAAAAGGAATTTGGTTAATGGTTTATTTCGAGAGACACATAAAATGATCACCAAGGATTTTTTTTTTTTAGGATGGGATTGGACAGTTTGGCATGTTTGGCTGAACCGTATACTTCCGAAAGTCCATATCGGCTTCATTCGGAAAGTTATAAAGCAGTACTTTATTTTTTAGAAATAAGTCAAAGCTTTAATTCACTACTTTCGTGGTCCGCTTGACCAATTAATACATGACAATTAATTAAGGTTTTTCATCTCAACTAAAAAACCTTAATTAATTGTCATGTATTAATTGGTCAAGCGGACCACGAAAGTAGTGAATTAATGATTTAAAAATGAAGTACACTTCACTAAAGCTCTCCGTCGCCATTTCAATTGTCGTCGAGAATCCAAACCGATTACACGACATTTGAAAATTGGCAAAAGGAGGGAAAACTCATAAGGTGGGGTTGAGATGGAGAGATGATGTCCGAGTGGATCGAGGTCACGATAGCTCAGGTGGTAGAGCAGCGGCGTATCTAGCCGAAGGTCGTGCGTTCGAATCCCTCTCGTACCATTAACTTTTTTTCATCTCAACTAAAAAACCTTAATTAATTGTCAATAAGTCAAAGCGTTTACCAAGAAGTCGTGCTACAGACTTGTATCGAGTCAAAACTTCTTGACGTTTCAGTCCGTCCCAAGTACTGCACTTCGTCGAAATTGGGAAGAGATATTATTGAAACACTCTTTTTGCCTAGGGGAAAGGTTTGGTGGTGGATTTGTCTGTGTTAAATTTTATTCTTTTATTTTCACCAAAACTCTAGTAGTACGAGATATTGAAGGTTTAGAGTGGAAATGACAGGATCAAAGTTACTTGAGAGGATCATTCTGCAAGGGTTAGGGTAATGGTTTGAGGATGGGAGGAACACCAGCATGGCCAAGAAAATGTGCCGTGCAGTAATGACTTCAATGGCTCAGAAAAACCCATAAAGTTTTGAGATAATAGGCTGAGGTCAAGATGCCTACGAAGGGTAAAGGTATATGGGTGTATTTTTCCTCATTCAATTTAATTTTTTTTTCTTGCACCAAGATCCCAACAGAGTGAAATGATGCAGGTTTCGAGACGAAAGATATGTGTTATTCGACAGAAGCGCTGTACATCGCCTGCGAAGGTAAGGATGGTATGAGATGGAATATCAACGGTGTACACTCCTAATAAATGGTCAGGAAGAATTCTTTTTAATAGAAGCTTATGTAAACATTTTCCCAAAATGGACAGTATTTGTTTAGCCTATATGAAGTGCGTGTTGATTTATGGGTTTAGGAAACATTTCGGAAATAGGAGTTCCAAGCTATAAGGAAGAACAGAATTCAATAAATATGTAATGAATATGATGGCCTTTTTAGGGAGATTTTGGATGGTTTTAAGATCAATTCAAAACTGGAGCTTTTTCTGATTTGAGATCTTGTACGGTAAACTGATCGCAGGTGCAAAAGCTTGGGAGGGAGGCATAAATAATAGAGGAAACCACAAACTGAAAAAAAAGGTTATTTAATTGGATTAAATTTAGTGAAATTGGATTTCGGTGTGATCAAATTTCTTCGACTCCAAACGTTATTCCTTGCGCTGTCCCTAATTTTTCGGCTTCGTGTACTTTCCTCCTCCACTTCTTCGTGTACCAAAATTCTGGCAACATGGCCAGTTACTTTTCAGCATTGTTGTCTCGACCATTTGCAACCACCATCCCAACTGAATTACTTAGTACTCGTGTCAACCACTGACTCACTGACCAGTGGCTACCCTGCTTTCAGTGACACCGACCTTTTTTCAAACCCTCCCAAGAGGGATGTTCCCCATGGCAGCTACTAACTCTCTGACCATTAGTCCTGTTTTCTTTCTTTCATTTCTTGTTCGGTCTTTATGGGTGATTTTTAATGTAATTCTTTCCGTAGCTCTTTGTTTTATACTTCCTCCTTGATAGTTTTTTTACCGTATTTAGCCGAAAATAGTGGGTTCGAATCCCGCTTGTGACACTGATTTTTTTATCTCAACCAAAACCTTAATTGAATTGAAAAGAATTTATTTGGTCAAGCAGACCACGAAACCTAATAAATGTAATAAGCAAAATGAAGTACACTTCACTAAAGCTCTCCATGGCCATTTCATTTGTCGCCGAGAATCAAATAGATTACACGACATTTGAAAAATGGCAAAAAGTAGGGAAAATTCAAAAGGTGGGGTTGAGATGGGAGGTTTAGTATCCGAGTGGATCGAAGTCACGATAGCTCAAGTGGTGGAGCAGCTGCGTATTTAGCCGAAGGTCGTGGGTTCGAATCCCGCTTGTGACACTGACTTTTTTATCTCAACCAAAA